AAGCAGAAAATAAGGCTTCACCTGAAGACCAGTTAGGAGCAGTGGTTTCACAGGATGATAAGCAAAGTTGGAGAGGAAGCTCCTGGCGAGGCTGCTACATGTAATGCTGGCACTGGTGGCCGTGATCTTAAGCAGTGAAGACACAGATAGGCAAGTGGAGACAGAAGAGGTTTTCTGTTGGTGGGGTGCAAGGCTCTTGTAGGTAGAAGAGATGCAGAGAGTAAAGAAGGAAGAAATTTAGGATGACATCCAGGTCTCTGTGATGCTTTAAAACTGGGGTGAACTGAGCTCGGCATGGTGATGCATGCCTGTCATCCCAGCACTCAGGAGGCTGAGCCAGGAGAATTGCCATGGATTCAAAGTCAACCGGACCTACATAGCAAGTTCAAGACCAGCTTGAACTGCATAGCAAGACCCTGTCGCACAAACAAGAAAAAAAATTAAAACTGGGGTGAACACGATATAACTGGAGGGCCGGTGGTTGGTGTCGTTTTTTGTTTTTTTGGTACCAGGGATTGAACTTGGGTCCCTGCACTTGCAAAGCAAGGTGGTTGGTTTCTATACATAGTTTTATTGGCACCCAGCCACACCCCTCAGTTTACACATTGTATATGCCTGCTTTCACCCCATAACACCAGAGCTGGGCATTTGTAACAAAAATGGTATAGACCGAAAAGCTGAAAGTGTTAGTTCTGTGACTCCTTGTGGAAAGACTTTAGCCAACTTGTTTTAGAACATTGCCTTTCAGAGGTGACTCAGGGAGAGAAAAAGTTAGTCAGATAAGTGACCAATTCTGTCTTCTATATTGTTTCTTTGCCCGTCACTTGGGATGGACATATACCAAGATCTCTGAGAAGTCCCACAGGAGAGAAGTCTATTTTTTTTATTAAAACCAACACTTCCCAAATGTATTTCTTCTTATGCCAGCTTTGTGTGTAACACTGAGGGAGCACCTGTGAATACCTGCTGTAGGGTGTCTACCAGAGGGATAAAAATTGGTGAGAATTCAAGGTATTAAGACATCATTTAAGTGGTCAAGAATCAGAAAGCCCAGAGCTTGGCCTTAAGTCACAAAGAAGAGACACATAGGAGGCTACGAAGGCAGAGCGCCAGTGTTTCCCACCTGGATAACTACAGGGAAGGTGACTTGGAATATAGAGGTAGAGGGAAAAAGTGGAAAAAAGAAGACAGTGGCTTGATGATAAGAGGTGATACCTCCTCAAACACATTGAATTTTGTTGAATTTTGTAAGCAGTGACCTTTCACTTCCCAGAAGATGGAGTAGGCATGTTCCCCCCCATTCTTCTCACTATTTAAACAAAAAACCTTGGACATCATATGTAAAACAGGCATGAGAAAATTCTCCATGGCAGATGGCTGGGGACCACAATCTGAGATGTGACCTGATGAAGGGGTCCCCAACTTTCTCCTTCCTTCACACATCACAGGCTGAATGCTGGAGGAGCAGACCACCCAAAGCCCACCAGGCCTTCCCAAATGCCCGTGCAGCGGGCTCTCCTCTCTTGCCAAAAGCAAAGGGGTTATTACAAACAGAAACCTTTTGAGGATAACAGCCAAACTCCTGCCAAATCCTGCAGAAAGAAATGAGTCCCATTTCACTCACACCAATGAAGATCAAGGAGGGGCCCTAAACACTACACCTCATGAGGAACCCCAATACCCGCAGGTATGGGGTGAGGGAAATCCAAGCAGGGAACTGGTATATTGCTTTGATCCCCATCATCCTACCTCCCCCTGGCAGTGACAAGGTGCTTCCCTTCCCCTTGTGGGAAGGTATCAGAAAAAGTTACCTAGAACATGTGGTTTACCAAAGATCTAGAATCTCAGAACCCAATATGAAAATATACAGGTTTAATAAAAAATTGTTCACCGTACTCAGAACCAAGACAATCTTGGAGCAAAATTTTAAAAGGCAATAGATACCAACACTGAGATGGTAGAATTATTTGACAAAGATTTGTTTAAAGCAGCTGTGATAAAATGCTTTAGTGGGTAATTAGGAACAATTATGAAACATGTGAAACTTTTTTTTTTTTTTTTGGTACAGGGGATTGAATTTGAGCCCTTGTGCCTGTGAGGCAGGCAGTAGAACTACTGAGTTAAATCCCCCGCCCATACATGTGAAACAATTTAAAACTCAGCCTCAGCAAAGAAAGAAATGGCATCAAGGAGAACCAAATGTAAATGTCAGAACTGAAAAATACAATGACTAAAATAAAAAGCTCACTAGAATTAAAAAGCTGAAGAGTAAAACAGAAGGGACAGGGGACAGGGGAAAGAATCAATGAACTTGAAAAAGAGACATAGAAGTTACCTGATCTGAACAAAACAGACCAAAAAAAAAAAAAAAAGAAAAGAAAGAAAGAAAATGAAGAGTCCCGGAGTCCTGTAGGACTATAATGCACAGAAAGAGGGTGGAACTATAAAAGGGCTCAAAGAAATGAAGGCAGAATGCTAACTTGGAGAGGAGCATAAAAGTACAGAATCAGGAAGCTAAGTGAAGTCCAAATAAACCTAAAGGAATCCATCCAAGACACGTAAGTAAACTTCTGAAAACTAAAGACAGGTTAAGCACAGCACCCAACCATACCTGGCTGCACTGGACCTTTGAGGCCACTGCACATGACTAACCTGGGCTGGAAAACAGAATTCTGGTTACCTCGATGAGGGCACAGGTGACAGACAATGCAGGAAGATGGGTCAAGAAGCCTGGATGGATTTTAAGGCTATTGCCTTCTAACTTGACTGTCCTTGTCTCCTAACACTGCAAGGGAAATAGAGACAGGGCTCCTTTGGTGTTGGCCATATCTTGGGGCCTCTAGCCTGGGAGACCTGATCTTTGCTTTTTACCCTGCTGGCTCCTTCAGGTCTCTGCTTTATTGTCACCACTGCACAGTGGCCTTTTCCTCTAGCCCTGTATAACACAGATTCTCAACCTACAACATTTTTCATGGCACTCTGTTTTCTCTTTTATTGAGAACAACTGCCAGTTGCTGTGTGTGCATAGGTGTGTGTCTACAGGTGTGCACGTGAGTGTGTGCACACAGGATCTTGCTGCACAGTTCAGCCTGGCCTTGACATCACTATGTAGCCCAAGCAGGCCTCAAACTTGTGATGATCCTCCTGCCTCAGCCTCCGCTAGAATTACAGGCATGTGTCACCACATCTGGCTGCAAATGTTTGTTGACTGATATACTGTATGTATCCTCTGCTAAACTACAAGTTGCTCAAGACTAGAAACACCTGCATCGAGTCTTGGGCACAAATAAACAAGAGGCACCTGCAAAAGAATGTCTGTGTTTGAGGGCCTGAGCTAATCACTTTCTTAGCATCCTGTCACGCAGCTGTTTGAGTCACAGTGAAGTGGGCAGTGTTGCTCTCATGTTATAGACCAACAGGCTCAGGTAGCCACAGTCTCAGGCCTGAAGTCACACAAGATGTCAAGCCAAGCAGTATCACAGACAGGTTTTCCCTCCCCGTGCTCTTTCTGCTTTTCCCCCCAGCCACAGCAGGTTTTCTGAGTTTCAGCCCCAAACCCACACCCTTCTTGCTGGATGGTTGCTGAAATTCACTCTGTTCACTTATCTTTCAAGCACTGAAGTTTTGGAGAATGAGGTGTCAGGCTGCGTGAAGTGGACAGGTAAAGAGCATTTCATTTCCAGCATCTCTAAGCAGTTGGGCTGCAGTTTAATTTAAGTACCCGGGTACCATGGCAATGCGAGTGCTATAAATACACAAGAGAGGCTTCTTGCCGCCAGCCTGCTGGTTACTGTGCTCACATCCCCACCCCCGTTTCCCACCAGGGCTGCGCTTGGGCTGTTGGGGTAGGAGTGCAGGAAGGCACCGCTGTGCAAGAGGGCCCAGCCTGTGCTCACGCGCTGGCGTTCTCTTTCCACACCCCCACGCTTGAAACTGCGATTGCATCTCCACCTCCGCCTCCAGTGCATAATTCATTTCCTCCTCAGTGAAAGACACAGCAGCTCCCAGTCCCCAGGGGCCTCGCTGACAAGGGTGTTGGAAACAGGGTGGACTCAACCAGTCCTGCCAGCCTCAGGGTAGTAGTGGATCCAGGTTAGTTAATGCGGAAGGCAGTCCAGGAAAACAGAGAGAGGAGGCGGGCCACACAGGAGTTAAAAGCCCCTCCTCCCGCAGAGGCCTGTGAAAGCAGCCCCCCTCCACCCTCCCTGGGGCTGCAGACAACACTGGCTTGCAGTGCAGGGGATCAGGTGGCTCCATCACCAGGACAGCAGGCCCCTGCCCCCAGTTCTGCGTCCTCTCCCTCAGCTCCCCCATCGTCCAAGCCCCGCCACTGGTCCACGGGTCTCCTGGCTGCTGTTCCACCTCCTCCAGCGAGAACGTGGTCTCTCAGATTTCCCGGAGCCCACCTTGCTGGGAGTTCTCAAGTGGAGACCCACGGGGAGCAGCTGCACTGGAACACCGAGTCTCTTTCTCACTATGTTCCCACAGGAAGGCCACTGCCTCTCTGAGCCCAGGGCGCTCCTCTGTAAAACGGGACCATGGTAGTAAGCCGTTGTGCCCAGAAACTCCCTGTCCCTATTTGTAAAGTGAGTCGTCCGCCTTAGACGTATTTCACTTTATTTTCCAGCACAGTATGAAGCACGGAAGACCCAGTGGTAAGCAAGAAACCTGCTCCGCTCGCATGTTGCCAGGGTTTCCTTCCACCCGCATTTTCTCTGGCTTAGGACAGGTTTTCCCATCACTGAAAAAAATAGTCCACCGCAGTTATGAATCTCAAGTAATGTGTTTCTCAAGAAAGGGGGACATTATTGGCTCGATCACGGAACATGACTGTGTGCATTCCCTGGGAATGTGGGAGGGACAGCATGAGGTTGGGAGGTACAGTCAAGGAGTAGGAAGACAAATCTCAGCGGTTGGTTCTCCAAGCCTCCATTTCCCCCAACAGGAAACTACTGCTGACATATCACCCTCCTCTCCCTTCCTTCATTTTTTTTCTTGTCTTTTTTTTTTTTTCAGTTAATTTCTTCTCCTCACTATCCTCAAGAAATATGTTGCCCTGTCTCTTAAGACGTGTGTGGGAAATGTCCTTTTTTCGTCCCTATGACAATGGGGGAAAAGAATGCAGTAGGCATTCTAAGAACAAAACAGCCCGTGTCAGGCTCAAGTGTCTCCTATGGGGCTCCTGGCTGTGAAATCAAGTGAAGACAGCAGGGGCCGGTGGTCACCTTCTGCTCTGTTCTGGCACTGGCCAGGCCCTGAATAAAGCACAGGGGATCTGGACACAGCCCAAGCAAGAAAACCAAAAGTGGAGGCTGCTTGTCTTCAGTTCAGATTCCTTCAGTTCAGTCACCTGTAGACTGATGTTCAGTTCAGCCAATCACATGGTGGAGCCGGTTTCGCCCTTTATCCCTTGCACGTTTGCGCTCTGCTTCACAGAATGCCTGGGGATGACTCACCACCAACGAACGGGGCTGGCAGCCATCTGGGCTATGACCTCACCACTGAGTTCTGCTTCTGGAGGTGACCTGGGATCCTCATTAGGGGCAGGAGGGCCAAAGCCTGCAGGAGACAATTTCTGCTTTCGTCTATTTCCTGCTTCTCAGCTCAGGTGCAAAGGTCTAGAGGAGCAAGCCAGGCTACAGGCATTGGAGCTGGAGAGAACGGTGGATTTGGATGTCTCCAAGGTGTTTCATCACCAACACACCCAATAGGAAGGAACAGGACTCGGAATTGGGCTGGAAAACAGGGCACACACACAAAGCTTACGATGAAGAGGATTGTCACGAGTAATCACGAATAATTTTCACAAGGGGAAGGACATTGACTTGTATTTTGCACAGAAAATATTCTGTGGCACATTTCACAGAGGTGTGCCTGCTGCCGCACAGGGCAGGGGTTGGGTTATCGGGACGCCAAGGGCTCCACTTCTCATCTCCTTTTGCCCTTTACGGCCAGCTCTAAGGAAGCTGTGCTATTATGTGATTTTTTTTTTTTTCCAGACCAGAGGCTGAAACTTCAGGCAAGCAAGCTGTGCAAGGTCATGTGGCCAAAAAGAGGATAAATTTGGGATCTGAGCAACTTGACTCCAAAGCTCTTGCTTCACAGCCAAAAAAGGATGAAGAAAAGACCAAGGAGACAATAGCTTGTCAGCTTCCATGATATTCCAGATTCAGGCCAAGGAGCTACAGAGCAATTTTACAAAGAATCGAGGTGTGGGTTAATGGCTGCAAGGACAGACACTGCTGTCAAACAGATCTGGTTTGTTCTATTAGCTCCTTACCCTCACCATCTCAAAGCCTCAGTTTCCTCACTCATAGAGTGGGTATAATATACACGTTTCTCTATTGCAGAGGATTGTTGTGAAGATTAAATGAGATTGTATGGGAGAAACGTAGCATGTGTCAGCTTTAGTATGAGGCTATTGCCATAATCAGCAATCATAGGTTTTTGCTCAGAGTAGCTCAGTAATAGCTACCTGGCCAAGCACTGTGGGAAAATGTAATAACTGGAGGTTGTTAATAGTGAAAGCTTGGGTGAGGGATGTCACTCAGCAGCATAGCACCTGCCTGGTAAGCGTAAGGCCCAGAGTTCAATTCCCAGTAAAAAAAAAAAAAAAAAAGTGAAATCTTGGCCCAAGAGGAGGAAACAAGGAGGGCTAAGGGAATTCTCTAGTAAAGGAATGGGAAACTCCTACTTTTGGGATCTGCCTGAGGGTTGTTTCTGGACTTCAGGACCTGGTATTTATGGAATGAAGGAAGGCAGGGCCCAACACAGAGCCCCTTCTCTAGCCTCAGGGCAGTAATTAACTTACTTGATGTCTCACACCTATAATTCTGGTATTCTGGGAGGCTGAAACAGGAAGATCAGAAGTTTAAAATGAGCCTGAGCAATTTAGTGACTCAGCTAGATTCTGGAGGGAGTGAGAGAGAGAGAGAGAGAGAGAGAGAGAGAGAGAAGGAAAAGAAAAGCTGGAGATGTAGCTCAGTGCAAAGGCCCTGGGTTCAACCTCCCAGCCTCCCCCAAAGTGAAATAAGATGACTAACAGGAGATTCCTTCCCTCGCATTGCACCCTCTGCCCCATCCAGGAGAAGGCTCACACAGGAGAATACGAGGCATTGGACTTCATTTCTACCCCCCTAGCATGTGGAATATGTCCATAGCAAAAATGGTTACACTCACTCTGGAAGCACAGACTGAAGAGGAGATGCACAAGCTCAGAGCAGCTTGATCCTTAGGTCAACCATCCTACCTTCTCTTTGGTATTCAATTCAGTATTTCTCAGTTTTCCAAAAAAATGCCATTTACTTACTTATGTATTAGAGGAGGTCTTGCTATTATCTCTGGGCTGCCCTGGAACTCTCTGTATCACTCGAGCAGCTGGAATAACAGGTGCACAGCACCTAGCCTGACATGACTTTTAATTTCTTCAATTACTTTTGTTTTTTCAAGATGAAATTTTGTCTCCCACCCCTTCTCCCTTCTTCCTTCCTGTCCCGGTTAAGTACTCGATTTAGCTAACAATATCCTAAATGTTTGACAGTGTGCTTTCCCTGGCCCTCTCTGGGAAGTCCTTCCCGGGAAGGAGAACTACTGCACTCCTAATTTTAGGGACCCTGAGAAGAGCCGGCTACATTTGCAAATTACTGGGAGGGGGGTTGAAACCACGTGGGCAGAACTGAGTAAGAGAGACAGATGGTGCCTGTGTGGGGGAAGGGAGGAGAGGTCCCGGAAAACTTATGTTCCCCGATTTGCAAGAATGTTTTCACTTAACCACTTCTTGCCTGACTCTTGATTCTACAGAAAAGAAAAGCAAGGAGTGTAAAGATCTGGGGCCACCTGTGCAGAGTCTGGGCTGCCCAGGTGGAGAAAGCCAGGAGCGTGGGAAGGCAGAGGCCGAGAGGGGCTGGTCCTGGCGTCTGGGGCTCGGGTCGGTTCTGGAGCCGGGTGACGAGCAGTCTCCGTCTCTGCAGGGCGGCGTGGCGGTGGCCAGCCGTTCGGACTGTCCCG